TGAAATACAGGCCCATGATAAGTAGAGTGGAGAGAAAGCAAAAATCTTCACAAAGGGAGAAAATTCAATTAGGAGGTTCTCTGTTGAGGCAATAGTTAAACAGAAGTGACTTTGGGGATATTCACATTTTCATAAACAATTTACATTTCCACAAAAAGGAACCCCCTGTCTACCATCTTGATTACAAGACTCTCGTAGGAGTAATTTGTAGCTTTTCATAGCTACTTAGGTTTTGTAGTGTCTGAAGCGTAGGATTTTAAAATCAGTATTTGATTTGATGTTTTTGTTTGTGGGTGATGAGTGTTTTTGTTTGTTTGTTTGTTTGTTTTTCTCTCTTTTACATATTGTCCTAATGACCTAGCTTATATGTATAGACTGAAAAATCTTCCCTAGAGCCCTTGCTTGGATGATTTTGAGAAGATCTGCTGCAACACTGCAAGTATGCTGCTACGGATTTGATAGCAGTAGAGTTTCATTAGCAAAAAGCATAGTGGCATCTAGGTTATGGGCATGTGATCAATGCCATCAATCTCTTAAGTTCTCCTTCCTTCTCTGGTGTGCAAATGATCCTGCAGTTACTGACTGCACTGCTGCTAAAACCACAAGGAATGTAAATGATGGCATACCTGGGAAGGCTTATGGAATTACGGTGTTTAACTGTATCTTTCAAAAATGTTAACCTCACAAGTGAGGATGCCTTCTTTTTCTGGGGTTGGATGTCTACCTCAAGCTACCTGTGCTGCTTGCTGTACCCAAATACAGAGTGACCATACTTCTTTCCAGCACACAGTTCCTATTTGAATTAATGGGACAGTCAATCAGCAGGGGATTATCTTTTCCAGGTGCCTTATAGTTCCATGAAGAGTTTGTTGGCTGAGTTGTAACACTTGCCATAAACAAAGGAATTATTTCTGCCAGCAAAGGTCAGCAAGAACTACATGTGCTTTTAAAAAATGATTTAGAGTGTGTGTGTCAAGATATAAAGTTCTTCTGTCACTGAAATAAGGTTTGTTTGGGTTCAGTTCTTCTTCATACCTAAATATCATAGGATAAAATGAATTTAGGGCAAATAGTCATTTGATCCCATTCTCAGAATAACATTCTCTACTCCTTGTAATTTAGTATGGATCCTTACGGTTTTTATCAATTTATTAAACCTGAAATTAAAGCAAAAGAACAGCATAGTAGCTGCATACAGCCAGCACAGAAGTTGTGCTTTAGGACCAAGTAAACCAGAAAATGAATAAATGAAGAAACAATGATAATTATTATCACTTCTATGTTGTATGCAGTACATGGCAGTTTATATGGCAGCTGCATATACATGTTACTGGAACTGCTAACCCGAGGCTTTGATAAAGCTGCAGCTATTTAGAAAACCGAGAGCCACATTGTCAACTAATAAAAGGCAGCACAAAGACAGCAGCTAGATATCTGCTCCATTAATTTTATTATTTCTTGATTTCTTTTTTTAAATATGCAATCTTAATTTTCTTTTGTAGATTCACTTGTATGCAATTTTCTTTTGCATGCAGTTTTTGAAAAACAGGTGAAAATTCCATTACAGTGAAGTGGAAATTCAACTCATTCTGAATCTCAGATTTTACTAATGATATCTCGGATTTTGGGATTCAAATTGCAGTAATCTGAAAGGGCTGGTGAAAGTGATGACTTCTTCACTGGCTGTTTATGTTTAATCATAAGTTCTCTCAGTGGATCTGGTGAGCCTTAAAAAATTTCAAGTTTCCTTGATATTGGCATAGCAGTTCTGTAAAGACCACCAGTTGCATAAATCAGACAAAGGCTAAGATCAGTTGGTCCTGAATATATCTTAGGAGACGCACTAACTTTTTTTTCAGAACATCGAAGGGAAAAAATCTAGGAAAAGGTAAGAAAGCATCAAGAAGGAAGAACCATGGAAGCAGCATTTTTTGAATGTAGCAATAAAGAGGCAGTGAAATGTAGAAATGGCATATGCTGTGTGACCAGGCCATAGACATGCTGATTGCATATTATGGCTAGGGATGGAATGTGCTTCCAGTGATGTGGTGGCAGAAGAATGAGATCTTGAGCCAGTCTAGGATATACATCATAGACACCAGTCCAACCTGGCTAGATAGGAGCAATTCATGGCATTGCGTATAATATGTTGCTTCAGCAGACAAAATTGCTGGTATCTGCTGAGCATAGTTAAAAGTGCAACCTTTAACTTGTATATTCCTATCAGTTTTAAAATGGGTTATACGTCTCTTGCTTACCCTGTTGGTTTTGTTTTGGAGAGTTTACTCCTCAATAAATGTCTGGGTTTGCCTGCATCAAATGCAAGATATCCCAGTGCTAATCAAGCTGGCCCTGTGTGGTTCAGTTAGCACAGGCCTGTGCTATAAATTTTTCAGGAAGCAGCGGTATTCATGTGACTGCAACTGAGCCTGCAGAAGCACCCTGTGAGTTGGTGACTATGCTAGCCGGGGAATATGAATAAAGACTACTAAAAAAGTCCTGAGGTTCTTTTAGTACTCAGAAAAGAAGCACAACAAAAAAGCAGTAGGCATTAAATCTCCAAAGGTCCTCAGCCAGAAGGAGGAGGGGTGATTTTTTCTTAGAGTTTTGCTTTGATTTAGCTACAGATTCTTTTTATGCTTCACCTCATAAAATCATCATAGCTGTTGGGACCCCTTAGAGGCAACAACAGTTTTTATTCCTTCACAGTTATCAAAATAGTTTCCTACCTTGCCTGCTTCCTCCTGATGACCAACCCAACTTTGAAATGCTAAGAAGCCACATTGATTTAGTTTCCCACGGATACAAAAATGACCAAAGGGATCAGATGAAGTTTTTTTTTTTTTTTTTTTTTTTAATGAAACTAGTCACCACTGAATAGAGAACAACAACAACAAAAAGTTTCAGGGGAAGAAGAATTTCACTGAAGAGTGAATAGATGGCAATCAAGGAGGCTCTTTGGTTCTTGACTTGTATTGTCTGGTCTTTTGCCTAGCACTTTGGTAGCAGTATTACAATGAAAGTCTTGATGCAACTTTTTCACTTTGTATAAGTGAAAGATTTGTTATCAGATTTTACAGAGGTAATTTTATTCTTTGTCCCACTGCGTTACTGCCCAGACACTGACAGTAGTATGTCCTTTGAATGGGTCTTGCATTTGGCCACCTTTCAGCTGGGTGTTTCAACTCAGCTGTTCATAACTTTTGCTGTGATTTTTACTGGCAAAAGAGAGGGTTTTTTTTGTTGTTGTTTTTTGCAAGTGAGAAATGTATTTTTCTAGGCTTAGAAATTCTAGGCTTAATAGTAGAATTACTATTTACTAGAATATGTTTTGGCTTGCAGTATTTGTATTGGAAATGTAGGTAGGACAGAAGATTGATAGCCTAACTCAGATCTCTTCATAAGGAAGTGGTGCAAATGCATATCCTTTAGTAGGTCTGAATTCAGCTTTGAGAGGTTGTTTCATTTAATTGTACCCTGAGTTTAGACAGTTTGAGCTCTTCATCCAAACCCACCCTAACACATCACTGACTTTATATTTCTATGCTGAATAAGTGAACAGATCTCTGAATTTTCTTTTCTGAATATATTGTTTTTAAGAAGCATTTTCTGAGTGCATCCTTCCTTACCTGCGTGTTACTGAACAAAGATGAGAATGCTTTAAAACATAGACAAGGAGGAGGTTTGGGCCATTCAGCTCCCATTCTGAGACCTAAGCACTAAGGACAGGAGGAGGAGATTTGGCTTAGAGCCCAAAAAGAGAGTGATAAGATCTCATGCTACTTTCATAGAATCATAGAATGCTTAAGGTTGGAAGGGACCTCTAGAGGTCATGTAGTCCAACTTTCTGCACACGCAGGGTCACCTAGAGCACATGGCACAGGACTGCATCCAAGCGGATTTTGAACATCTCCAGAGAAGGAGACTCCACAACCTCTCTTGGCAGCCTGTTCCAGTGCTCTGTCACCCTCACTGTTAAGAAATTTTTCCTTAAATTCCTGTGGAACTTTTGATGCTTCAGTTTGTGGCCATTTCCTCTAGTTCTGTCGGTGGCCACCAGTGTAGAGAGGCCAGCACCATCCTCCTCACTGCCTCCCTTGAGGTACTTGTAGACACTGATCAGATCCCTTCTCAATCTTCTCTTCTCCAGGCTGAACAGGCCCAGCTCCCTCAGCGTCTCCTCATAGGGCAGATGTTCCAGGCCCCTGATCATCCTTGTGGGGCCTCACCAGGGCTGAGTAGAGGGGCAGGATCACCTCCCTTGACCTGCTGGAGACGCTCCTCTTAATGCACCCCAGGATCCCATTGGCCTTCTTGGCCACGAGGGCACACTGCTGCCTCCTGGTCAACTTGTTGTCCACCATGACACCCAGGTCTTTCTCCGCAGAGCTGCTCTCCAGAAGGTCTTTCCCCAGCCTGTACTGATGCATGGGGCCTTGTTGAATTTCATGAGGTTTTTCACTGCCCAGTTGTCCAGTCTGTCCAGGTCCCTCTGGATGGCAGCACAGCCCTCTGGGGTATCAGCTATTCCTCCCAGTTTGGTATCATCAGCAAACTTGCTGAGGGAGCACTCTGTGCCTTCATCCAGGTCATTGATGAATAAATTGAACAGGACTGGGCCAAGGACTGACCCCTGAGGGACACTGCTAGCTACAGGCCTCCAACTAGACTCGGCAGGAGATTTGGAGAGTTTTTGAAAGTGTCCTGCAGGTTATGTGGCATATTATGTATTGATGAAAGAGAAGACCACAATTTATCCTCTTCTGGCACTGTGACAGGGTTATGAAAGAAATGGGAGGCATGTATTATACTATCAGAAAATCTGTCAGGAGGGGTTGGTGCAAGTAAAGAGTTACTATATTTAAGTGTATTCCACCAAAAAGCGAATTCTGTTGCTCTTTAATTTTGAAATCTAAAAGTAATAATGTTCCTCCTTTGTTTACAGTATCAAGAGGCAGCCTATTTAACACCATGCTTGTTCTTGTTGATCTCTTTTTTAGAATCCCACTTAATGTCAGAGACATTGTCTACTGTACAGGAGTTTCACTGATGGATGAAGATGTATGGGAGTTCATTTGGATGAAATTTCATTCTATCACAGCGGTGTCTGAAAAGAAAATATTATTAGAAGCCTTAACTTGCAGCGATGACAGAAATTTGCTTAACAGGTAGAAAAGCATTATTTATATATCACAGAATCACAGAATGGTTGATTTTGGAAAGGGCTTCTAGAGATCATCTAGTCCAACCCCCCTGCTCAAACAGGGACACCTAGAGCACGTGTCACAGGGTCTCATCCAGGGGGGTGTTGAAGATCTCCAAAAAAGGAGAATCCACAGCCTCTCTGGGCAGCCTGTTCCAGGGCTCTGTCACCCTCACAGTAAAGAAGTTCTTCCTTACATGGAGATGGAAATTCCTGTGTTTCAATTTATACACATTAGCCCTTGTTCTGTCACTGGCCACCACTGAGAAGAGTTTGGCCCCATTCTCCCCTCAGATATTTGTGCATGTTGATCAGATCCCCTCTCAGTCTTCTCTAGGCTAAACAGGCCTACCTTGCTTAGTCCTTCCTCATGAGAGAGATGCTCCAGTCCCTTAATCATCTTTGTTGCTCTGGCTGGACCCTTTCTAGAAGTTCCACGTCCCTCTTGTACTGAGGAGCCTGGAACTGCACCCAAAACTCCAGGTGTGGCCTCACCAGAGCTAAGGAGAGGGGCAGGATCCCCTCCCTCCACCTGCTGGCAACGCTCCTCCTGATGGCCCTTCGATTGGCCTTCTTGGCCATGAGGGCACATTGCTGATTCATGGTTAACTTGTTGTCAACCAGGACTCCCAAATCCTTCTCCATGGAGCTACTTTCGAGCAGGACAACCCCTAATCTGTCCTGGTGCCTGAGGTTATTCCTCCGCAGGTGCAGGACCCTGCACTTGTCCTTGTTGAACCTCATGAGGTTCCTCTCTGCCCAACTCTCCATGCTGTCAAGGTCCCTCTGAATGGCAGCACAGCCCTGGAGAGTGTCAGGCACTCCTCCCAGTTTGGTATCATCCGCATACTTGCTGAGGGTGCACTCTGTCCCTTCGTCCAAGTCATTGATGAACAAATTGAAGAGCACTGGGCCCAGTCCTGACCCCTGCAGGTCACCACTGGCCACTGGACTCCAACTAGACTCATCCCCATTTATCACAACCCTCTTGAGCTCTGCCATCCAGCTAGTTCTCAATCCACTCATCCACTGTCCACTCATCCAGTCTACACTTCCTAGGCTTTGCTATGAGGATGTTATGGGAGGCTGTGTCGAAAGCTGTGCTGAAGTCGAGGTAGATAACATCCATGGCTTTCCCATGATCCATCCAGCAGTTTTGTGTTTATGGAAATCCTTTTACATCTGTATCTTCTAAAAAGACCAGAATTCAATAACAAAACTGAAAATTTTCCTGATTCAGAAATTGATCTGAATTTTAGAATCACAGAAATAAAGTCATAAATTCGCTTTGAGACTTAAACTATTTGACAGTCTTTTTTTAGAGTATTTAGGTGTGCTGTTCTTAGAGTATATGTCAAAATGGCTGACAAAATTCTTTGTCCTTTTTTTTTTTTCACTAGGCTTTTGAATTTATCCCTCAACTCAGAAGTTGTCCTGGATCAGGATGCAATTGATGTGATAATCCATGTAGCTCGAAATCCACATGGAAGGGATCTTGCTTGGAAGTTTTTCAGAGAAAAATGGAAAATATTAAATGCCAGGTAAAGATAAAAGTCAAAAAGTATTTTAACAATTTTTGCTTGATATTATTCATATAGGTGTTTTATATACTGATTCCTGAATCAGTGTATAAATCTCTTCTCTTTTTCCATAAATAAGGATACATCTCTAAACATAAGATACATAAATATGAATCATGAATACATTTAGTCATAGATTCCCACATACATATATAGAAACATTTAACTCCAGATCATCTGTTTGACTATCTTTTACTGTATTGTACTTGTGATTTGCATTTGTGATAATGAATTCTGCCCATATGTCAATTGCTGCAATCCTACTTTTACATAGATTTTTGAAAAATAATGTCAGTTCCCAAAGGAATTTTGCTAATTTTAAATTTGAGAAAAAAAAAAAAAAAAACTTCAGGCATGTTAGCTGAACTGTGAAAAAAAAAAAAAAACCTTCTTGTAATATCTCAGTTTTGTATAGGATTTCTGCTGGTGAAATTCTTCTGAGTTTCAGATAATACAAGAAGGGCAGTGTTTTGAATCAAATACAGATGTGCAGGAAAGACTATGTTGTTTGCATACCTGTTATCTTTGCATGTGTACTACAAGTTTGTATTGAGAAGCCCACCAAACACTTTAAAAGCCTTTTTGATGAAGACTTAGAAATAAAAATTCAAAGAATTATTTTTTTTTTAGTTCTTTGGGGCCAAGACATTTCGCAGCACATCATCTGAGAGATTAGAAGGGACTGTATCTCTGGTGAGGTTCAGGTTCAGGTTCTGAGGCATTCACTGCTGTTCAAGAGCTTTGGACACCCCAGGGGAGCCAAACCATCCTTATGGCCTTGGCAGGCATGCTAGATAACATGCTGGAGATCTTCTCACTTTTGGATTCAAAAGAGACCATGTAGGATAAAATAGAATATTTAAAACTGTATATATAAGATGCTAAATTTAAGTAACTAAATCCTCGTGTCAGAAGTACAAACTTACTATTAGTGTCACTGCATCAGAAGATGAGCCAAGGAAGCTCAGAGTCTGTCCATACAACTTCCCTAAAAATCAGTTTATTCATCCTCCTGTGGATAATATTTTATAGCTTTAGGTTTTAGACGAAGTTCAGCTATGAGAGTAGGTTTGCGCTGAAATTCAGTTTTGGAAGTTTATATTGCAAGAACTGGCTTTTCAAAAGCAATTTCCAAAAAGCTATGAGTTCTGCAGAGTTTAAAGGAGCCTCTGCTTCTGGTATGATTTTTCTAAGAACTGGACTTTTACTGAGAAAGTGAATGGCAGACCCATTTTACAAACCTAAGAAATGAGTTATGTTCAGGATAGCAGGCAATATTTCATGTTCCTTAAGGGATCTGAACAGAATTTAGGTGTAAATTCTGTATTGTTACAAGCACATACACAGAATATAGGGTCCTACCTATCATCTACCACAGCGAATATGTGTGTCTGACCACCTAGCTGTCTTAACTTCACTTAAAATTTACATGTTATTTTATCTTACTTGGTATGCATCACTGTGCTCTCTGATTTCCTAATGATCAGCAAGACTTTGTGAAGCACCTGTTACTATCTTTTTTTTTATGAGAAAATAACAGCATTAGTTTCTTTTCACCCCAAACTTGCTTTATGCTACCTATACTGATTCCAACATAAGGTAGAGTCGTCAAAGGACCTGTAGCAGTTGCTATTTGCCTTATGCACTTTTTTGAAAAGGACATCCAGTAGAGTCCCTATTGATCATCAGTTGAATCAATCCAGTGGAATGAAATAATTAATATAAGCTTTAGACCCTGATGTGTGTTGAAAATAATTTCATGTTGTGGTTACAGATTATTAGAGAGACTTTCAAAGGGTGGTAGAATGCAAAATTAAGTTTCTGATTTAGGTTTGCCACACTAATACATTTTTTAAAATACAAAATTTATTGCAGAATTATGGTTCAAGTATATTTTTCTACAACTATACATCATTTTAATTTTGTTTAAAGTTGTAATACTTCTTAATAAACATTAATTTAATAAACTGATATCTCAATAGTATTTTCCATTTGAAATTTGAATTTTTTATAAAAGATGTTGACATTTGAAACAGTAATGCAAATAGCTAAGAGTGATTAAAGAGTGATTAAAATTTTAATACTATTTCCTCTGACTTGAAAATACTTCATATCAAAGAATTAGAATAACAACAACAAAATATTGTTGGTCCTTTACGTTATTACTGTATGCTTGTATTCACACTGCTCAGAAGATAAGGATAATATTTAAAGATCTTCAAAATCACTCATATCCCATTTGCAAAGTGACTTAGAAACTAAAATTTCTAAACAAAATTTCATCAGTGAAACTGCTAACTTTTAGGAAAACCTGAAAAAAAAGAAAGAAAATGCTGTGTTTAAATTCCTCTTACCTGATGATGAAAGACATGGCCTCCTGAGTCACTCTGAATGTGTGTGCACCTGCATGTGTGTATGAAGACTTTTATCCAAGTCATTTGTCGATATTTGGAAATTTGCCAAAGTAAATGGAATATACTGCCAAATTTACTCAAATTTACTTCCCACAAATGCAATGCCTTTGAAAATGTAAGGCTTTGGAAGTTCAGATCCTCAGAACAGAAGGAGCAGGTGCTGAGTCGATGACTTTTAAGAAGTTTCCAGAGAGTGAGCCAAATGATTTAGAAGTTTGTTTCTATAATGCTATTGTCTTTTCTATGAAGAGTGGGAAGATTGATATTTGCAAGAGCAACCACTTTTCTCGCAGATGTCTGTTTATATTTCTTGCAAAATGCCATTTTGGGAGGTGACTTTACCAGAATTTTTGCCAGTAGAGACCATATAGAGATTGCTATTAGTGGCTGGCTTTTTATCATGTAAGTGCAATAGGCAGCAAACAGCATAGATGTTCATGAAGGTATAGATTTCAGTGGAAAGAATGTTGCTATTTCTTGCTCACACAGTGGACACACTACAAGCTGCAAGAAAAAATAAAAATGATTTTTATGGGGTCGCTTCTGTAAAGTGGATTGGTAACCTTCTCAAAAGACCCCATCAAGAAGAGCTTCCAATTTTCCAGGCAGTCAATTACGAGGCTAAGCTGAGAATGTAACAAAAAAGGACTTTGTTAGAAAGCCTAAACGTGCTTAAAAGACCATGAAATCCATACTTCCCATAGGAGGCATTTGCCTCTGGATATCTGTATATGTCAGTGTGGCTGAGGTTTTGGAAAAAAAGAGGTGTGAAATGCTGAAATATCCATGAATAATTCAGTTATTAGTGGTCAAGGAGTTGTATTTTTAATACTTATAGCAGTGGTTCTCTGCACATAAGTTCCAGGTCGCAAGCACAGTAGACATTTCTCCTAAACCAGAAACTTCTTCTTTCTCCTCTCCCACTCTTTCTTCTCCTCCCCACTCCCTCCTCCTTTCCTTCTCCCCTTTTCTTTCTTTTCTATTTCACCTTCCCTCCCTTTCTCTTTTTGAAAAACCCTCTGGCTTACTGTACCTGAGCATTTAAGGGAAATTAACTTAATACCAGACTAACAGAAGCAGAAGAGAGAGCAATAGATGTGCCAGTTCATTTCAAATTGAATTTTGGACGTATCTGCTAAATCAGGTTATAAAAGCAATGTGTAAACTGAAATCTTCCCTTGGATAAACCTAAGTGCTGTGAAGTCTATTGACATTACTTATGCAAGTCTGACAGTGGAGCTGGATTTCCTATCTTTAACGCAATCATGTTCAGATTAGCTAGAGACTTTTTTGCATATATGTGCAGATACAGGTAAGGCTAACTATTTGTCAGATGCCTCATTCCCGCATGTAACAAAAATTCGGGAGTAATCTCATCCGTTTTGCAAAAGGCATAGATACTTTGTTTGGGAGTTTGAGAAAACTTGTAGATGAGCAAGTGGAACAGCAGCACTTCAATGAACAGTTTCAAAGCAAATATCTGCTGAATGTCATTGCTGCTTGCAGCTGAATATCCTATGCAGCTATGCATTTGCCTTTAAGTATTCTGTGCCCAAGCTTTCACATCTTCACTGACTGTTTCTTTGAAGATGCTACAATCATGGCCCAGGGGATAATTTTTAGCAGTATTGCTTTTTATCAATATTACTTATTTTAATTATCAGGTATTGGAGAAAGAGAATTTGATTTAGTTCACTTTTCTAAGGGCTGATGTAGGTGAGGAGGATGATTGCAAAATGCAGGGAAGACTGCAGGATTTCAGAAAGTTTATTTTAGTGATGCGGCTAGAAGGATTCCTCAGGGCACTTCTCTCTAGTTGTTGCTCCTTTCCTTTTTTGCTGTTTGTATTTTGAGCTCCTTGGTGTTGTTACATGGAAAACTGCTTCAAAAGCATAAAACATTTATGTAGTTTGGTCCTCTCCTCTTTTTTTTTTTTAAACTTTCACTTGTGACTTCAATTAAACTCATCCTGCTTAACAATATCCCACTAAAAGTTAACTACAAATACTTACGTCTAAAAAAAACGCTGAAGTCTAGGTTTTCAGTATGAAACATTGTCTAATTCCAGTGCTATTCTCTTGGATGCCAGGTCTTGTCCCCATCTATAGGAGATTATTTTCTCATTTTGAGCTGGCCTCACTCTTGCATTGACTCTCTGTGTATCTTCTTTTTGCTCCTGCAGATATGGAGAAGCACTGTTTATGAATTCCAAGCTTATCAGTGGGGTCACGGAATTCCTTAACACTGAAGAAGAACTAATGGAGGTAATTTCTAAGTGATTTTCAGTACACGAAGCTGGTTTTGTTGTAAGCAGGGACCAGGGCAGGATCACAAGGTGTCAGCAGCAGCTAAGGTCAGAGAAGCTGAAAAAAATCAGTCTATCCTTCTGGACCTCTTTGTAGGGTCAGTGAGTCACTGTGGGTTTCACTATGTTCATTCTGAAGTAGCACTGAGGGACCAGGAACAGCAGCTGGTTGTTGGGGAAGTCTAGTTTGCTCAGGCTCATCGTGCAGCTACGCAGCAAAAAGATGAGAAACAGATTGTGAAGAGTGGAGAGAAAGGTTACCAGGAGGTGAGTAGTGCAGGCAGTCTGCTCTATACTCTAAGATTTTGCATTCTTCTCTTCCTGCTGGATCTTGCTACAGTGCACCTTTTTTCTCTTTTTCCTTTATTAGTCTGTGGCAGACCCTAAGCTGAACTTTCAGCCTGAAGCAGAGTTTTGGAACTGCCTCAAATGTAGTGTAATTTACCGAAGAATATTTTTCTTAAGTCCTCTGATGCTGAATGAAAAACACGCACTTACATATCTTCCAGTCAGTCTGGAGCAAAGACCTCTCTGGACATGTAGGCTTGGTCTTTTTTCCTGACTCTAATATCTGAGAAGTCAGATACAAGCTCCTTCTATCCATGCTGCTGTGCTGTAATGCACAGAAACTACCTTAAAAATCTCTGTGGCAAAAGTAAGAAGAGTTACCAGTGCCTTCTCTGTTCTTCTCTTGTCTACAGTATTTGAGTGTGAGAAGAGCTGCTAATCCTGTATTCTGGCCAAATGACATCACAGTACTTTATTTTTTCCTCCCCCCCGCCCCTAAAATCTATCTACTTCTCATCTAGATTGCCAGAATCTTTCCTTTCAACTTAACATCTACTCTCACAGAAGCAGTTGTGAGGTTGTGCTACTTCTTGCTTAGCCGCTGTTCTATATTATCCCAAATGGATCACATGGTTCTTACACAGAAGATAATCACCATTAAATCATTGAACTCTAATTGTGATATGATGCTTGTGCATGACCATGTGTCTGCACTCAGCCTAATGGACTGAGGACAGGTGGTTTTCTGAAGGCTGCCTAGCTTTGAGTAGCCTTGCCACATTTTTGCCTACTATACCCTCAGTTTTCACCTCCATGAAAATACTGGCAGGTTGCCTGTTTCTACCTCCTCTAAAGGAACCTGGCCATGTAAGTATTTATTACAAAAAGTACAAAGATCAGGTCAAGTCTGATTTTGGTTGTTTCCAAGTCCCTTCTACCTTTTTAGTTGTGATGGAATTGAAATCGTTGCAGGGTCAGCTGTTCAATTTTGAGCAAGTACACAAAAAAAATGGTGAAAGTCAAGTTTAAGTGGACTGGGTGATATGGCATCTCTAGAAAGTAAAAGTTTACCAGTCATCAATAATTGTAGCTAAAATAACAGATTTTGTACAAGCCAGCATAATGAGCACCCTACTGCGCAGATGATTCTTGCAGTTCTCATTTAAAGTGGACAGGAATTCAAAGCACACCAAAGTCATCAACTGTAATAATCAAAATGATAGTGCCGTGATTTGAGTAGATCTGAAAACAGAGCAAAGGCCTTTTCAGAGTGCTGAGAAAAGGGCCAAGCTTTCTCACAGGGGAAAGAATCTATTTCAAGAGTTCAAAAATGAAGTGTGTGCTCATTTTCTATTCTTCCTGTTCTTTCCACACTAACCCTTCCTTCCTTTTCTAAACGTAAGGATTCTGCAAATCAAAATTAAATAAATTTGTTGTGAACTTTGATTAAACCAAAGGGCAGCAGGGCTAAATTCTGCTGACATTTGTTTATAAACTTGAATTGGGAGAGTTTCCAGTGCTCCAAATTTAGTTTCTTAAGTAGAAATGAAAAGTTCAGAGCAGCCCAGCTGTCTACTAAGTGCGGCAGCTGGGCGATAGTGGAGAAGGAGGAAATGATATTAATGTGATCTGGCATTGACATGTCAATAACTGCCAGTGCAATTCGAAGCAATTGCATCACGTATAATTGATAGAGTCTGCTGTCTTCTTACATTTTGCATTAGATCTCTCTATATAATCTTACGTTTACTTCAACAATAATTGTGGATGTTTGTGCTAAATGTTTGGCTTTTTTATATGCGCTGGAGATATTTACTTTTTTTAGTTCCTGCAAATTTAACTTGTTGAATTGTATTTCCAGCTAAAGAACTTTATAAAGACTTATGAAGAGGGAGCTGCTGCCTCTTTCTCTCGGGCTGTGGAAACAGTGGAAGCCAATGTGCGATGGCAAAGGCTTTATAAGGAAGAATTATTCCAGTGGCTAAGAAAATCCGTGACACACTAAACTGTCTTTCCAACTGACCATTGGACATGAAGTTCTGCAAGAGGAAAAGGAGAAATTTTAGGGATGCTTGACATTAAATTCATGAAGACAAATAAGATTGCAGGGAAGAGCTTTGTTCTTTCTGGGCTCTTGGAAGATTGTCAGGAAGTTTTGCAGAAGAGAAGGTCATGAATGCTTGTGAAATCCACTCCTCAAGTGTACAAAACCAAATATGATATTAAGTGGTGCATGTAAACGTTATTGTCAGTTTGAAGAAAAAGAAGCAAACAAAAACCCTTGAAAGACTACTTTGTGCATGCTTGTACTGTCCCTGCCTGTATTCTAGCATGCTTACGTATAACAGCCACATTTTGTATGTGAAATTCTGTTACATCAAAAATGGGCATTATACAAAGCACAAAGACTATCTCTGACAATCAGCGTTGCAAGGAACAAAAAGGAAGGAAAGAAGAAGAATGAAATGGCTTCCAACTAGGGGCACTATGAGATGTGAAGTCAGCTGTCACTGCTAGCTGCCAACTAGTCCAGCACTCAGATTGTCTCTTAATGATTAGACAGATGACGGCTCATTTTTTGAGTTGCCAGTTGTTACAACTGCAGTCTACATATTCCCATGACTAAATAAACTGCACATATGTATAGAGAGAAAATGAATGTAAGAGAGAGGGATTTCATTTTTGCATTGTAATTACATAGATTTGTTTGCTGCTGATCAGTGCAACAATATAGTTTTGATCATGCACATACACAGTGTTTATGAAAAGAACTTTGCATAGTTGATTGGAGAGAATCCATGAACCACCTCTTCTGAGCAATTTTACAAGGCAGTGTTATTCATGATGGGTCACCCAACCTGTGCAGGAATTAGTAATGCAGCTGATGATGCACAAGTATTAAACATAAGATTCAAATGGAAATTAGCAAGAGGGGGGATGTCTTATCTCTAATTCTATGCAAAAGCATGGAATTAACCAAGATAGCTGTCCTGCATGCAGTGGACCATCCTCTGTAATGATTTATTATGATAGACAAGTCAGATTCTCCATGTGGGCAATATTTTTGCAAACATTAGATGTACCACTTATGTCAACTTAGAAAAGTGAAATATGGAGAAAGAGAAGTGTGTGTGTCTCTGTATTGCCTAATATTTAGAAAACTGTTTTATTTCTATTTTTTTTTTTATAATCCACATAGACTCTTCTAGGGAAGTGTTACTTTTCTAAGTTATGTGTTTGTTTATTTTCTCTTGATCCTCAGTTTGAGAAACTGGTAATAGAGTAGAATTGTAAACCGTACAATAACCTTCTACATTATTGATGCTCTGTGTTGCAGATGAGACTGATTTATCTTAGGGCCAAATACTATGGCATTTTTGTGCCATGAAGAAGAAAAACTACAGAGGGTTTATAGGAGGCAGGTTGCAGCAGCTCAGTGAGGAAAGTGAATGTACTGCAATGTTTCTGTAGCCCAGCCCAGTCCATCGCAACCACCTGACCACAACACCAACTCTCACTGGGGAGCGCATGGCCAGTGAATGCAGCGAATACCCATTTTAATTGGTTGGGTCCTTCAGAGGTCATGGAGATTACAAAAGTGCTTCATAGTAGCAGTTGCGTGAGTTGATGAGCAGTGGAAATGTTAGTGTGAAAAGAGCTAAAACCTGCCATCTTCAGGTACTACCAGAGTGACATGGAAAGAGTATTGTTTTCTAGCCTCTCACTCTCATGATACCCTTTTCTTCAACAACTAGTATACACATTCCCTAACAAAGATACCATACCAGTATCTGTACCATATCATTACTATTATTCATCTTGACCATCTCATTTTGTGTCTTCTATGATGCAGAGGATGCTGTTTCTTGGGCTGGATGCATGAAATCCTTGTGAAAGCACTTTCTCCACTTTTTGGTGATGTACAGCACTGCATAATAGATTGACCACATATAGCCAGAAGAAGAGGGAATCCTTTGCTGTTGTACTTTTTACTTTCTGCCTGTACTTTTTACTTTCTGCCTTATAGTAAGCTCTAAATATCTGTGTTAGTTTGTGTTACTAGTGAATTTACTCTTTCCACCCAGAGATATTAACACAAACATGCTCATGAAGTCCTCCTCCTCCAATGTATTTTACCTACCTCACAGGGGTGTTGTGAGGCTTGATAATGTTGTCAAAGCATTTGAATATCCTCTGATGAAAGGCATTTTACAATGCAAAGTTTTGTGTTATGTGGTTGACCAAACGCAAACTCGATGAGTATGTAGCTTCACATTTTTGATTTTTTTCTGAACAAAATCACATGCAGACTTGTTATAATAAAAAGCAAGCCAAATATTCTTTAATAGAGCCTCTATCCTTCAATGTAGCCCAAACTTATGTTATCCAAAGAGTGTGCAGAAACCCAAGCCGTCAAATAGGTTTACTTTGGGAATTTCAGAGAAAAGTAGTGTTCATAATGGTCTGTCAAATTCTGTCAAAATTCTCTTTGATGATTCCTTTTTTTTTTTTTCTTTTTTTTTCATATTAAACTATATATCTTCAGGCTATGCATGGAAGTTTTTGGTCTTTGCAAATGAAGGACAGACTAACAGTATATTCTGAAGTTGATGGTTTGGTTCAGCGTATGTATTCTATGCAGTGTGCAGATATTTTTACTGTTGCTCACACGAATTGGAGTTCTTGCACATTTAGCTGATGGATGTAAATATTTAGTGGCCTTGAGCAACTGGTTTATCAGAAATATGAAGCCCTCACTGCATCTGTTATACATACCTGCTGCTGTATTGGTTATAATTACTGTACTATAGTAATGTTGCTATTAGTGTTATAGTTAAGGTTGAGTTGACATTTCCATTATAATTACCTGGGGGTTTTTTTGGCTATTTTTAGTATTTCATATGTTTCTTTTTCATGTGTAGTCAGGATTAAATTTAAATGGCTTAAATCCAAGGAAACCGTAACTGTTTTCAACAGTACTGAAAAGCACTAGTCTACTTAGTTATAGGTCTTTAGAAACTTTTTTTAAGTAAGTGCCACACAGATATGATACCTCATGGAAAACTCTAATATAGTCATCTTAGAAAAATCTATTTTATTGATTTTTATTCTCTTTGCCAGTCCTTTTCTTCCTTTGTTCTTACCTAAAGACAGGTCCCATTTTTGTAATTTGGACTGTGATTGAGAAGCTGAATACTGCAAGTTTTTCAGTATTTTCAAATGCAGAGATTTAATTTTGTCCTTTTTAGTGAGAGAAGGTACTGCAAAATATGGATCCAGAGCAGACATGGACCTCCCCTAAACCCCACAAGCACTGTATAGAGATTTGATAAGACCTGTATCTCTAATTAGTTTTGGTATGGCTCAGGATCCTTTGCTATAACTAATTCTTAAGGCATACTAAATAATCTAGGAAGACACATTAACAGATGCAAATCAATGCCAGCATATTGTAGTTTAATAATATGATTCACTACAAAAAAGTCTGAGCCCGTTACTTTGTAGCTGGTGGAATTGTTCTTATATCTAGTACAAATAGCTATTAAGAAGATGGTAGCTGTTAATTGTGACTAGAGCAGAGCAATGTGAAAACATTCTTCTGAAATGAAATATCACTCTGCTTTTTTGGAGGGGAAAGGGGGAGTAATTGAATATTAATTTGGAGAGTTTTTGATGAATAACCTTAATTTGTCTTTGAGTGCATCCAAATATGTGATCTTTTATGGTCTTTTCAGTGAATACAGCAAGAATTTGTATACTATATTGGAAACAAGGTAAATTTTGTGTAGTTTGGGGGCTATTGTGGATGTTTCACTGAGCTTTAGAATGTCAAAGGAAATGCCTCTGCTGATGCAGCAAAGATCCTGAACCATACATTAAGTCTTCATGTGAAAAGCACTCTGTAGAGATAATTTTCCAATAGAATGTCAGTATATCTGATATTCGAATATTAATAGAGATAATATTAAAGTGAAGTCAGTATTTGTAGGCGATGGTGTCTTGCTTAGGAATCTACATAATAAGGATTTGTTTTCCCAGGTGGTATTGATGGCAATTAAAAGAGACTGTGAGTCACATGTAAAATTGGCTTATGCTCTTAGGAAATGAAGGTCCAGAAAAATCTAAGTTCCTGCATCGTGGAAAGTGTTTCCAGTTCCTGCCTACAGGAAAATGTTCACAGAAACACTTGTAAAGGCCTAGAATTTTGTCATGTCTGTTTTCCAGAAGTCATTTAAGGTGGTCAGGAATATTCTGAATTTTAAAGTGTGTGTAAGACTGGAGAGAGTCTTTTCCTATATGCGTTTTTTTGTTGTTGTTGTTGTTTATGCTGAAAATATGCCATGAGTTTCTCAGACTTTCTCACAAAGAGTATGCTGCTATAAATGAGTGCGGATTCCATGTACTGAATATCAGTGTTAGGAGACATCAGCGTCTTAGAGAACTGGGTGGCAACTGTAGCAGTAGAGGTAGTTGTAATAATACCACCACTGTAAGATTCAGATGTCCACGCAAACCTGTCTGTGTAATTCCTTTCTGTATACAAAACTGTAAAAAGTTAACCATTTTGTTTCCCAAGTGACTGTGGCAACTTCTGCCGATCCTAAAAGAAATACTGAAATCTGTTAAAAACCACTGTCTTGGTCAAGTCATCCTCGCTTATATGAGTAATTTAGTTTTAAATCAGAAGGAAGAGGAGTAAGGGATATGTAAAGATTTTTCACTAAAGTCAGGTCACATGCCAAATTGGAGAGTGATTTTAAAATCAAGGATATTTTGAGGAAAGTTGGTTAACACCCTGAAATTAGCCCCATCTTTTCACTCCATGGTAACACTGGAGGGTAGCTTGACCTCAAGCCTTCCTCTCCATTGTAACACAATTGAGGCTGGATTTCATGAACTGCTCATGAGTGGAGCTGGTTTCAATGAGATGTGGCGTTGAAAACGATCACCCACATGAGCAAGTCAAGCTGGGGGTCAGACCCTTGGTTCTCTCTGGGAGAACAGCACATACATTTGGTTGATTCATAATCAGTGATGAAGTGCTGGATTGCTGCGTAGTGTTTCTGATGCTGTTTACTTTGTGTGCACTATTTCTGAAGGACACTAAG